ATATATATATATATATATATATATATATATACACAGAGCTCCCATATATATACACACACACACACAATTCGATATGAGTTGATTTTTTAATTCTAAATGCCATTCTATCATGGTCTAAAATTTCCACTATTGCCTTGGTAGATTTAGCCAGTATCAATGTGAGAATTTGTTAACAAAATTAATCTGAGAAGATTGACACAACATACACTGAGCATCTTGCTTTCCATCTTTTCATTAATTCTCTCCCAGGTTTGTGAGTTGCCTTTTGGAGCAGCCTGAAGTGTTAGTCATCGGTGCAGGACGAGGACATGCTGGCAGGATCATTCACAAGTTATTTGTGAATGCTCAGAGGGTATGTGAGATTCATTATTTACTGTATCATGATCTCTCCAGACCACTACTCAGTAAGATGCACTTTTGATTTCCACACATGGCTAATTTTACAGCTGCTGAGTATAAATCTGGGCATTGGATTTGAACATTGAAGAAACGGTGACTCTTAGTGTGACTGCTAGGCTTTGAAATCCATTTGCTTTCCTACATTGGTTTAAGTAAAATGGTAACTATAGTATAGGATCTAAATTTCTTAAATACTCAGTTAGCAATGGCCGCACCTGTACTGTGGGAAAAAAATTTACTACTTTCAAATTAGAATAGCATTCCATTTTACCATCTCTAAACCCCATGTACCTCAAATGAATTCACAACTTAGCTTAAATTGTAAATCTGTTCTTTTAATGGTGAAGAGATCTAACTTTAGAAGTTTCCTAAGAAGGAAGAACATTTCAGATTTTTAGCACTGTAGAAACTGAGGCTTAGCACATAAAGAAAGCCCAATTTGGGAAATTTTCTTCATCTTTACCTTTACTGAGGAGCTTTGGTGGTGCAGTGGCTAACCAGAAGGTTGGTGGTTTGAACCCACTAGCTGCTCCATGGGAGAAAGATGAGACAGTCTGCTTCCATAAAGATTTACAGCCTTGGAAACCCTGTGGGGCAGTTCTACTCTGTCCTGTAGGGTTGCTATGAGTCAGAATGAACTTTTGGGCACTGGGTTTGGTTTTTGGTTACCTTTGCTAGTGAAAGTGAAGGCTTAAAATTTGTATAGTACTTTCTAACATTCTAAATATTAAAATTTGAATTTTTGTGAGGGTGACACTAGGTAAACTTTGTACTGACACACTCTTAGTTATTATAGAAATCTTGTTTACTGATTAGACAGGTGCTGTTACACAGAGATGATTCTCCACTCAGGGCTTATCCGTATTAAAGATTCTGATCACAGTATTAGGATATGCACTAAGTACCTTTTGCCTCTTACTTGGAACTGTGATGACACTAGAATGACCTAGTTTTGAAGGTATAATTTTTGGAATCAAGTAAGAAAAACAATTTTCATGGGTCTATACATGGAATAACAATTTCAGAATCCCTTTTGAGTCTGTCTAGAATGCATCTACTTAATATAGTCAAAACCATAGCCAGATACTGATCTGAATTTTTAGCAAATTAGCAAAAGCTAAAAATTGAGATTATTTTTGGAGAAATTCCCTAAATTTAAGAATTTCACATTAAAAACCAAGTATTTTATTTCCTTATTAGAGTTCTAGAAGACAATAAATACTTTCTTTGATCTATTTTGTTTTTGTCTCTGACATGAAACCAAGAACCTAGTAAGTTTTCACCTCCTATCATGTCTTTGCCAGCTCACTAGACAAATGCTTACAAGCACATTTCCTTGTTATCACAAGTATGAATTTTCCTCATCTTGCATATTTTACTTTCTCTTGCCTCTTAGATAATTTTTTTAAAATTGTGTTACAAGGATTTATAATCTAAAGTATTTGCATTTTTAATACTGAAAAGGTTACTTGTTTTGGATGGGTAAGCAAAATTATTTCCCCCAAAATGGAAAAAGCTTCCTCTTGCCCTCTAGACTGTAAATAAAGGTTCATTATCTAAAATTCAGACAATAAAGAAAATTACAAAGAAAAAATCAAATAATTTCACTGTCCACTAATGATTACTGTCAACATTTAATATTTAGTATATAGATAAATATATGTGTATTTGACAAAAGTATGATTATATAATTTACTGTGGTATTCTTTCTGCATCAGTAAATGTAGGACTATGTCGTCTTTTTTAATGGCCTCATTGCATTTCATTGTATGAATAACTAATCTGTCAATGGATACTTAAAGTATACATTCATTACACTTTATACAATTTTAAGAGATTTCAAACTTTCAGACCTTGTAGTAAATGGTTTTAGGGAATTTTAGACTATGTAACCCATATAGGTACATAATACATAGACAATCCAATTGGTACTTTTTTAAACTTAGCTCTTAAATATGTGGCAAATGTAAACTGTAAAGTTATGTAACTTTTTAAAAAATAATTAACTGATGCCTTATATTAATTTTACTAATCAAGGTTTTAGCATTTTTAAAGTTATGAAATTTTTCTGGGAAATGTTTATAACATATATAATCATTTTTTTGTACTTAATTTTTTTTTAAGTAGATATTCTTCATAAACTTGACCACATGTATGCTTCTATAATATATAGATAATTAAATGGCATTGAGAAAATAAATGACTTAACTGGGTTTTACTTCAGTCTTAGACACATATTCTTAAATTCATTGGATTATTTTTCAAGCTATGAACACTTTTTCTGGCATCTTAATTTTTCAGTGGAAGAGCTAGATTTTTGTTATACCACTTTCCCATTAAATGACACTTTCTATCTCACCTATTGGACCATCAGATGCATGACTAGTGGGGTATGTCTGCTTTATTTGACAGCTAGGTGTATTGTGTGTGTGTGTGTGTGTGACTTTGTCCTGATACTCTTTATAGGATCATATTCCTTACTGTAGTGCATGCTGTCTCTGAAATAATCGTGAAATCTCTTGTCTAGCCCTTTTTAAACCATCTTGCTTGTTTCCCTTTCATCACTGTTTCTTTTCTCACCCTTTCTCAAGCTGACTGAATCTTCTGATGAGGTAACAAAATAGCCTTTGTCCCTCATAGTTCCTGTTCTTTTCCATCCCTCTAACTTCATAAGGTCATTAAGACTAACCACCTCTTTAACAGTCTGATTTCGTATATCTTTCTTGCTGGTGTTTAGCATAACATGGTGAAATGTTTTTGTTACCAAAATGATTAGTTTTTTTTTCTTTCTCCAAACCGATGCTATTGTATAGTGATCAGAGTTTAAAATGAAGAGTCTAATTAAATACATATATTATGCAATTTTAATGAAAGAAATAGATGTCTTTACTATTAAGAACTCTCTTCTGTGATCATTGCTACATAGACTGTTACCACTGTAGATCTTATAAGTGGCCCAGCAGACAAAACCAAATCCCCTGGTTTTAATTTGGCAAATGAATCTTAAAAAGAATTGACTGGAAGCATTGAGATAAAATTCATCTTTTCAGACTCTGGAGAGGAACAGCTCCTTACTAGACTAAGGGCATCAAAGTTGGGCTTGGGTCACTGCTAGAAAAGCGTGAAGAAATAAACACAGTTCCATTATATGTACCTTTTCATCAGTTATCTGAATATGGCCCTCACTTTTCAAAGCAAATTTCTTGACAGTCCTTATCCCTTCTGTCTCTACCACCAATTTATTTATAATCTCTGGTTGTTCATGTAATGTTTCAAATTTCTTGCATTTTCTATGTTGTGTTTTTTGAGTAATCATAACATAGCTGACTGCATTACTGAGTTAATGTAGAACATTTTGATGTATATTATCACATTTACTCATCTGTCTTTCAAAAATATCTGTATTTCTCATTTGATTCCCTTTTGAATTTAGCATTTTTTTTCTCTTCAAGGCTGCAACCATGGCACCACCAGAGGAGGAATTGAAGAGAATGGGCTCCCTTGAAGAAAGAAGACAGAACTCCTTGTCAGATTTCCCACCTCCTGCTGGCCGGGAGCTCATTTTGCGCACCACGGTGCCCCGCCCTGCTCCTTATTCCAAAGCTCTCCCCCAGCGGATGTACAGTGTTCTCACCAAAGATGACTTTAGACTTGCAGGTGCCTTTTCATCAGATACCTCCTTCTTCTAGTTCTTTTAGTATTACCTCATTTGTGGCTTTAGAGACAGACAAAGCTGCCTCCTTCTGTGGGAGGGAGGGTGTACCAGTCAGAACCTAAGAGTCACGGAGAGGGCCCTGACCAAACTAATGAGCAGGATCATACCAGCATCTGAAAGACTTTCCAGCACCAGGCTTGGGCTTTTTTGTATCTTGACAGTGGCAGAGCGAATGGGTTGAGCTGCCAAAAGATGTCTGCCTGAAGGAGATGGCCCTTGTACATGGTGGGAAAAAAACAACAGTAGATCTCTGTACTCAGTCTGGCAGGATAGTGTTTATTTTATTCTTTTTCGTGACTATCCTTTGAGCTATTGCCTTGGGTTTATAGTTTGTGTAAACACTTAATGGTTATATTTATTATTATCAAGTATGCAAAATAGAGTATCTGTTAACTCAGATTTCTGGATATTTTGGTGGTAGCTTCTCTTCCCAGAATCTGTGTTTTTAAAATACTAAATGGCATTCTGTTTATTCAATCACCTGGTGATCATCTTTATCATACTAGTTAACTTTTGATGAGTGTTTTGAATATTCTCTAGGGAGAAATAAGGATTTTCATATAGTTTATGTGTTTTTCCATGTAATTTTGACCTAAATGTACTCCTCTGATAAAACTGTATATTGAAAGCCACTGCAAATTAGTTTTATATATATCTTACAGATTTATTTTCTCATGTATTTGTTTTGTTTTCTCTTGCCATGTCAAGATATCAACTTGCAAATTGTCCTCCTGGTTGTGCCGCATGCGTCTTTCTTTTTGCTGGCTGGATGTTATATGTAATGAAGTAGAGATGAGTACATCTTAAAAATACAGGCTTGGGACATAGAGCTTATCATGCAGCTAGTGTAATTTGGTATGTGTGCTAATATAACGAGTAGAGGATTATTTTAGTGCACTATTTTGCTTTTGTATTTTAGTTAAAATGAAAATAATCGGGGGGGTGGGGTATGTAGTAGTCAATATAAAGATAACAGCAGCATATTTCTAGTTATTTGAGAATCAAGATTTATTGTTGAGTCTGTGTTGCTATATGGCCTGTATTCGGCAGTCTCAAATTTATTTTCAGCCTAAAATTCCCACTTTAATCCAAAGTCAAAAATGTTCATACTGAAGCATAAACCCTGTCTCTGTAAGTTTAAAGAATTATTAGAGCTGTGTAAACCCTGTGTTATATTATTTTTGTAAAATAAAAAAATGTATATATCTGTATATGGCGAGAGAGAGAAAGAGAGATGAAATAGGGGAAGCCCTGGTTGATTTCTTCCTGGCCTTTATAGTGTTTTCCCTGAGATGCTGATCTTTATTACAACTGGTAAACTATATAGGTGCAGGCCTGAGAATTGAGTGCTGTATGAAGTGCTAAAAGAAATTGAAGAGCAAGTAGAAGACGTGTCTTTCAAGGACAGAGTTTCTCTGCTTTCTAATAAGGAAGTTAATGACAAAGAAAAATGACAAAGAAGAAATTGGGCTTTAAAATGGCTTCATAAATCTAATAAAAAAGAGTATGCTTTCGTGGCTTATTTTCTTCCCTCTAATGGGTGTTTTATTTTATTTCACTTAGTTTTTGTGCTGCCTAAGATCTTCCAAAGTGTTCACAACCTACTGAATTTTGAAGAGCAGAGGTCCTAAGAGCACTCTCTTTGTGCCTTTTTAATGATAGTTGCTCTTTTTTGCTTTCCTTATAGTTATATGTTTGTTTATTTCAGACATTTTTAAGTACTTTGCATCAGGTACTAGCTAGTGAACATAAAATACATGCCCTTCCTGCAGTGACCTCCCTGTCAGGTAGGGAAGACTGACGCAACATTGCCATAACATGGAGTACAACCAACTCAGTTCTTTGAACTGGAGGTCCAATATTTATCATATAATGCATTCATTCATTCATTCATTGACAAGAGAGAATAATAAATATAGTGATCATTAGCATAAGGTGTTATAGGAGAGGTTCTTCACACAGACTTTGAGGGTCAGGAAAATGATCCCAAAGGAGCTAATTTTTAGATTGAGACCAGAAGATGAATAGGAGATGACTAAGGCATGAGGAAGTTTGGTAACTTATTTGCAAAGAAGAACCCCAGTAATTCTTCCTTTCCCTGTGTGCTTCCCTGTTCATTGTGCCTGCAGCTGCTTCCATGAGAAAGTGGACCTTATTTCACCATTCCTTGAATCTAGACTTAGCCTTGCATCTAGACACCATTACTATCTATCTTTGATCAGTGAGACATTAGCAAATATGACACAAGCAGAGCTTTGAAAAGTAACATTGGAGTTGGTGTCGCTTCCTGCTGAAACCCTTAGATCAGCATGTACGTTGAGAAAGCTGGATGGTTTGGTATGCAATAAAAGCTAACTGCTATAGGAGGAAATCAGAAAAGAATTACAGGTAGAGGAAACAATGGCAAAAAAACAGAAACAAGATGTAGTATATTTGGGGAAGAGTGTTTCACATTGGCTGGAATGTGGTACCTACAGAAAAGATGATGAGGTAAATTCAGCCAAGATGAAGACATTCTGAGTAAGCCACAGGAAGAAGTCCAGGCTTTATCTTGTGGGCAGTGGTGAGTTCTTGAAGGGTTTAGTAGAGGAGTAACATGATGAGTTTTAGAAACACACTATACAGTGGGGCAAATGGGTTAAAGAGGTAATAAAGTATATACATGTGCTAGATACTGTACTAAATTTTAAGTTTGGAAGGTAGCAATATTGTCAGTAGTTTTCTGTCTTGTGCTCCAGAGAGCCCGAAATATATTTCTGGAACCAGCATGAAAATGCCCTTCCTCCGGGGCTCCTCCCTTATCTATACATTCTTATCCACCATCATAATTCAGATTTTCCTTCAGGTTTGAATTTTTCAAACCTTAAGCATTTATGTTTGTATCTTATTAATCAGCAAATATTTATTGAGCACCTATTTTGTGCCAGGTAGTGTTCTAGGCACTGGGAAAACAGCCATGAAAAGAACATACAAAAGACCTTGCCCTCATGGACATTGCATTAAGGGACATCAGGTATAAATAATCTTATAAGGGGAAGGAGAGTGCTTTTTATTTCTTTATTGTTTTTACATAAGAAGGACTTTTTTCAAAAGGATTATTGCAAGAGGAGAAAAGGGCCTATTGTAATAATAAGGAAGCAACTTGCAAGAGCAATAGTAAGTGGCCATTTGAATGTCCTCTTCAGTGAAATGTCGAGTCAGATCCTTTGCCCCTTTTATGATTGAAGCATTTGTCTTTTGCTGTTAAATTGCTCAAGTTTTATATATAATTTTAGTTATTAGATTCTTATCAAATATATAGTTTCTGAAGATATTGTTGCAGTCAGTAGCTTATCTTCTCCCTTTTTTGGTAAAGTCTTTGCCAAAGACTTTAAATTATTACTTATTTATTAATTTTTAATTGTGATTTGGCTGAAAGTTTACAGAACAAATTCACTTTCCATACAGCAGCTCACATACACTTTGTCTCATGACATTAACTGCAATTTCCCACAGTGCAACAGGTCCCCTCCTACTTCTTCCCCATAGTTACTCTTCCCTTTGTCCTTCCCTCCCCTGCATTCCTGCCTTCTGAGCTGTCTCCCTGTGCATACACTGCCCTTCTATTCTCCCATGATTGATCTCTCCAAGGAGTGTATCTACCTAATGTAAATATTCAGCTCATATGCCTGTCTTTTGTTTGGCTGGAAGCCACAGGAGTGAGTTCAGTTCCAGACCTGAAGGGCAGCTGGGCATAGTCTCAGTGGTCTCATCAGGCTGTATCAGACCAGCAAACCTGGTCCCCCCCTCCTTTTTTTTTTTTAATGATTTTGAGTTTTCTTCCACATTGTTCTCCCATTCTATCCAGGATCTTGTACAGAGATTGTGGTAGCTGGGCACCATCTAGTTCTGGTCTCATAATCCTATAGGCTGAGAATTGCATGCTGTAGCAGTCTCTTGGACTAATTGTTTCCATGAATCTTTCGTTCTCTTCATTCTTCTTTGCTCTGGACAAGGAGAGACCCATCGTTGCATTTAGATGGCTGCTTGCAAGCTTTTAAGATCCCAGTCACTACTCGCCAAACTAGGATGTGGAACAGTGTTTTTGTGTAGTATGTTATGTCAGTTGTTGTCCCCTGCGACTATGGTTCCCCGCCCACATGTCCAACTACTTGCTCCCTCTAAGTATCTGGCTGTGGCCAAGAAGTGACTACAGTCTTGTCCCTTGTCAGCTCTATTATATACCTGGACATTCTTACAGAACATACAAATACACTTGTAGAAACATTGTCTTCCAACCCTGTACATGGTCAAGGGCACACTCCCCCCCATATGTTAGGGTCCCTAAATTTGCCCCTAGTTTTTCCTTGAGGAACTTTATAGTTTTAGATTTCACATTTAAGTCTGATCCATCTGGAGTTAGTTTTTGTGTATGGTGTGAGGTACAGATCTTGTTTAATTTTTCTGCAAACGGATATCCAGTTTTGTCACACTATTTCTTT